ATATGTTTGCTGGTAAGATGTGTTTGACAGTTTGTGGTGTGGCAAATTGTGCACTGAGGTTTGTAATTTTATTAATGAAGAATGTGGCAAAGTTGTCAGCTGTTAAGAGTTGATGAAGGAGGGGGAGGAGGAGGACAAAGGTGGGAGGAAAATGTTTTAAAGAGCATGCGAGAGTTAGAAGAATTGTCAATTTTGTTATGATCGTATGTCCTTTTAGCAGTGGAGACATTAGCGGAGAAGGAAGAGAGGAGTGACTGATAGACATTAAGGTCATACATGTTAATACACCTCTAAAATGTATCAAAAAATCTAATAAAAATAAGTATAGTTTTTTCAGAAACATTTTGATGACAAAGTGCTATTATCCGCTCATCTATCAGTCCTCGGTTCATTACGAATCGGACATGTTCCAAAATGAGTCAGTTAGTTCAGTCGAAAACCACGCAATCCGATTTAAATGAACCGAGCGGCTTAGTTAATCGGTTCACACAATTCACTGAAAAGATCCGATTCAATAGAACGATTCGCCAACGAATCAGACATCGCTCATCTGCGCATGCCCGGAGCCCGTCCACCATAGCAGTGTGACTGGCAAGAGTAGTTGCCAGCCCAGAGTGTGAATGATCGCATTGCCAGGAAATTCGCTGAATTCTTATTTGTGGGCGAGTCAAATCCATCTTTATTTCTTTAAATCGGCCCAGCTGCGTATTAAGTTAATTTCTTCTTTCAGATCCGAAGAGCAGTTTCCCTAGTCCCAGAGGTTTTTTTTTTTTTGAGAAGTTCGTGTTTATCACGGCATTGTTTGTGGCAATACGCCGGTTTATATTAACTTTCGTACAGTGTGAAAGTCGCGCTCGGGCTCTTTATTCCCACACTGCGATACATCGTAACAATTTCTCGCTTTTCGCGAAAATGGCCGCAACTACGTTCGAAATGGACGGAAGTGTAATGGAAGGGGTGAGTGTTCTATTTCGAGCCTTTTTTTTAATATATATCTCCGATTAAAGGTTTAATGTTGAACATGTTAGAATGGCATCGCCAGAATTGAATTTAGTAGTCGTCGGTAATTCTTTAAAAAACAAAATTTGGATGTTTCTCTTTAAAGGGAGGACAGATTTTAAGGCTGTCCGCCGCGCTGAGTTGCATCCAAGGGGCGTCAATCAAAATAAATAAAATCCGAGCCGGTAGAAGCACACCGGGTTTGAGGTAATGGACATTTTGATTCAAACACATTATGTATTAATTTATCTGGTTTTATGTACATTTAAATAGTTAATTTTGTATATATGTGGAACATTCTCCATTTGCCCCCCCCCCTTTCCTATTCTACAGTGAATTATGAAACAAAGCAAAGTTGGTTGTTGGAGTCTAGTTACTCAATTTACACTTAACTTTTGGAGTCAAGCATATGGATATACGACTATATATTAAGTAAAGTTGTTTTGAACAGTTGTTTATCCCACAGAAATGCTGTTAAATACTTTTACCATGAATTTTTAATGCGCCCCTTTGTTAGTTGGCACTGAAGCACATGACTACTTTCCATGTTATCCCTTCACTTTTATCTCTTTAAATGGTCTGGATTTTTATCGAAACTCTTTAGTAACCCATATTTTTCTTTGTTGCGTACATTAGTGCTTTTTTTTTTAAGAATACAGATGCAGCCTTTATAAAAAGTTATTAAAACTCAATCTAGTCTAATTCCCCTGTCAATAAAAGGAGCAAATCTGATTCTTTCGGTCGAAATGAGCTGTATTTTGAGCTGCATCAATTGTTATCCCGTTCAACGTCACCAGGCCTCAGCATCTGTCAGGTCTCGAGCTGGTTAGGGACATGTGCAATGGCAATCTGGAAGGAGCCACAGTGGGATCCTCGGAAATTACACTCACTCCTGGGAAAATCAAGGGTGGGAATCATGTCGCAGATACTCGGACGGCTGGGTGAGTATCATTTTTAGTCGTTTACGCTGCCTCATTTCTGCTAAACTGTAAAATTATGCCAATTTGTGACACTGTGTTGAAGCGTTTTTGGCCCCTAAGTGTACTTTTGTTGTCCGTGGTGTAGAAGTGTGGGACTGCTGATGCAGATCTCATTGCCGTGCGCCCTGTTCGCTCAGGGTCCGTCAGAGCTGTGCTTGAAGGGAGGAACCAATGCTGAGATGGCACCTCAGATCGACTACACAGTGAAGGTATGTGTAGACGTATGTTTGCGCACTGGGCAGGGCCGGATTGAGTCATCAGCTGTGGACATCCTTCTAATTCTGACGTTCAAATCTTTTTTAGGTCTTCAAACCGATAGTGGAAAGATTCGGAGTTCAGTTTGACTGTGATTTAAAAATGAGGTATTGAAGCGCAACTTTGGTGCAGATCTGAATGTAGTCCTTAAAAAGTAAAACCTAAAATGTTTTCAAAATCTTTTTCGGCGAAAACAGAGGATACTATCCTAAGGGAGGTGGTGAGGTGGTGCTCAAGGTGAACCCTGTGAAGGAACTGAGTCCCATCAACATGACGGAAAGAGGAAACATCACCAAGATCTACGGCAGGGCCTTTGTGGCTGGAGTGCTGCCCTTTAAGGTATAAGATTGTTGACTTTTTTCAGTTTGATTAGCTTAACTACACAATTTTTTTAATGCTAATTGACCATGGAAAAAAGAATTCTCCCACAACATCTAAATCTGCTT